TCTGTAATAAGATGAACATTATTTTATTTTACTTCCACTCGTCCGATAGACTTGAAATTTGGTATATTATGGAAATCCAATACAAATACAATATGATAACTTTAATCTAATGCAGCAATTAGGACAGTCTGCAGATTACCCACATTTTTGACACCTTACAGTAGAACTTTCGTGTTTGGGTACATTAAACTGATTCGACGACTTGTTGGCTTACGAATGGTGACTTTATTGGACTTTTTGAAATACACTGTTTTATATTATTTATTGATTAAGTGACATACATTTTAGTATGTTGTTATATTTCTACCCTGAAACTTACTATAGGATTATACCAAATTAAAATTTTATTCAGTTGGTTACTAAAGAGGTCGAGGAGCTGGCTATAGTTCGTGAGGAATAGAAGATGAGTCTACACCGACAAAAATATGATGATGAACATAATTGTGTAATAACTTTTGAATAAACACAGGACCATGAAATTTCGCCTTACAGGTATCTTAACTGTGGTATTTTGAATAGATTACGTTTTCGGGTTGTTTTAAAGATGGTTATTTATGGGTAACACTAACAAATATCAAATTATTACCCATGAAAAGCCTAATGAGAAATAAACTTTCTTGATTTATCATTTTACTATTCGACAGACTGATTAATGTAAATTGACAATTATCCAATAGAAGCCCAATAATATTATATTCATTATTATGGGATCAGCCAGTCCGTTGGATTTCCATGGATGAATGAAGCAACAATAATACATAACTACTCGTGACAATGAAAAAATTTAAAAATAACATCAATTTATGTTGACCCGTAAACCCATTAGTTGCGTTTAAATACCTAGTTTAACGCTCCAAATACATAAAGTAAAACTTACACTCTTAATGTAACAACAACATTGAATTTATGAAACATAATCTACAAGATTTAAGAACAATTAACAATTACACGTTCTTTTGCGTTAGGATTAAAGTAGACATTTCAAACTGACCACGCACACACACTAAACCATATGGATCAAATTTTTTACAATACTATGTAACGGGACGAATAAGTCGTCCGCCTGATGGTAAGCTACACGCCTGTTCATAATAGTTGCAATGCCACTCAAGAGCTTTAAATCGCAAAAATCTGAGACAGATCATTGTATTGGGTTTTCACATTACAGAACTTTGTATTGGGTTTTTAATTTGACTTTTTATGTCTATCGAATATGTTATTTTCATAGCTTGTTAAATAATATCATCCTTTAATCTATACAATTTAACGCCTGTAATTGGTCAAATTGAATTTTCTACAATTATTTTTACCAAAGAACCTTAAAAGTAGAACGAAGCTTATTCCTAGTCATAGTAGGTGTAATAAATTTTATTACATTGTATTTAACACCAATTTATCTTCGCACGTTAAAGAATATCGAAATTAAAAGCAGTAATTCTTTCAAGCCAACGCAATTCCTGTTAGGGTCCATTATTTTTTAAAGTGACTTAAGTTTTCATCAACTAACGGTATTTCGATCTCTTCGCACCTACCCATAATATTGGTTTAAATTGGAGATGTTTTAACAGTTGCTAAAGGTTAACAAGTAGTAGCAATAGCATCTTAGTGCATTTTATTCATCCAGGGAAATCTGTTACCATACCTATTTCTGTCGCCAGTAATGTGAGAATTAATGCGTTCCAGTTTTGAATGGCAAAGGCGCTGGTAAAACTACAGAAGACGGAGAAGTCCCATATGCATTTTTGCATCATGGTGACTGGTGCAGTAGTAGTGTCCAGGTTTTTGTAATTGGACACAAGACTTGTTCGTTCAGTCACTTGATATCATAAACAAAAATCGTAATATAGACTAAGATTTTCATAGTTGTTCAATATTCGATTATAACTAGTTCCAGGCTTTTTCAACTTGTTTGTTATTCTTATGATATTTCAAAGTAATTAGGCGCTCTACAGAAACGTAGTTCTGTCCTGAAAGCTGTCAAATGCCGCTTACCGGTAAACCCGTAACCATGGAGCGTATAATCCCTTTGAAATGTCTGGAGATGCGAGTATTTTTTTTTTATATTAGGGACTTGACGATTTGAGTGTATACTTAAAAGTACTGAGTTTATATTTAGTTTCAGAGTGTTTTATTGCAAATTGCCTGTAATAAAAGTAATGACCGTCCTTTCTCCTTTTTTCGAATGTGAGATGAACTTTTAGAAGAATATGTGTTACAGAGAGTGCTTAGATTTTCCATCCCAAAACTCATTCGTTATCTCGTTAACAACTTCTTTACTACTTTCCGAATATTAAAATAAAGTCGTAATTAAGTTGTACCATTCACCACCATATTTGACTATATTTAGTATTATTATCCTAAAAGTTATTCACGATATTAACAGTAATTGGGCTTTAAATTCGAATAACCGTTAACGAATTTATCGCTAGTGAAGTCATAGATCTCTCTATGAGAATGCGAGAATGTCAGGATTGCATAGCGTTTCAGTAAGATTAACATAGGTATCTAAATTATGAAGGCATTTCTTTACGTATTCATGTGGTTATGACTAGATTGCACAATTTTTGTTTGATAAAGAAATATCATTATCATCATGGTCTTCTCTAAGGAAGGGATTTGGGCCATAGTCCGTCATGCTTGGGGGCTTTATGCGTTTGTTAAGGGTTGTCAACGTTCTTCGATATTCGGTATCATCATGTGGTCTGTGGTATCATCACTATATTTTCTTTCACCGTTAGCTATAGGTGTTGCTACGAAACGTTTACAAATATTCATAAATGAGAAATAAAAGTTCGCAGTCTGTTAATTGAGAAGCAATCGTTCTCTCATAGGGTTATCACTTCTTTAGAGAAGGTCTGTAGCAAGGATAAAGAGAAATTCTTAGGTCTGCTGACTTGTTAATAGCTCAGTTGCGAAAGAGAGACGAAAAAATATCAATGGTTCAAGTCCAACATGTTACTCACTAAAATATTGCGATACTTGTAACTAGAGATAATTGATATTCGTATTGTAGACGTAATCAGTTATTTAAAATCCAGTATCAGTAACGGAGCTTACTGTGTCTTTACAATCATTATTTAAAATTATGACTGCTTTTGGAAATAGCTCCAATTGTTTAATTTGCTTATTTAATCAATTTTAATACACATCATCTGCATTATTCAAGTCACCTGCTAAATATTAAAGCAAAATAAAAGGTGAACCGAAACAGGACGATTTCAAAATTGAATTTTTTTGTTTAGCTTTGACTGTATTCATAAATTTACACAAATAAAGGTAATTTACAATTTTATTTCGATTCATTACTTCACGTTCTGTGTTATGGTATAAATATTTATATTCAATAAAAAAGAGTCCATTATCCATTATACGGATCCTAGCGTCATTGCTATCACAGTTGTGAGGATAAAGTATTTTCAATTAACGGAGTTTTTATGGAACCCAAATTCACTGCAACATGGATAATTTCAAATCTTTTTTCAAAATTAATTTAGTTATTTTAGGTTTGCAAATGATTAAAACCATAGCTTGCAACTTGCGAAGATAAGTTAGTGAAACAATTATTACTAAGATTGTAAGTACCAGAAAGATTTAACCGAACATTTTAATTCTAACACAGCCATATTTTATCGAATGAAAATCTTACTTGTTAAGTTAACACTAAAGTTAACAGAAACAACTATATTTTTAACTATTATTAAGCTGCCTTTTTGCTCCAGTAATATGACTCATACAAGTCGTAGATTCACTAACATTCATTCAACATTCAGTGTAGATAAGAAATACGAAAACACATTGTGAAAATTGAATTTCATTGTGAAATTGATGGTAAAATTTAATCATATGCTACGACAACATCACATTCCTTACTTTTGTGAATTCTTTTATACCAACACTTTCCTCATTACCAATAATAAAGTAGATTTCAAGCGTGATTCACTAAATAATAATAACTAGTTACAAAAGTTAAAAAGTTACTAGCAACTTGTAGCTGAGTATATAATCGATGCCCTAAGGTATCTGACTCCCTAGCCGATTTGATTCTGAGAGCGTTTTTATACATTTATGGTTGAAATTTATACTGAATATAAATTTCATACGTTAAAGATCAAATTGATTTAAAAAGTTTTTTAAAACATCATTCTCATTCGGCACACAAGTTTAACCCAGAACCAAATGGTCAGTTAAGGGGTAGGACATCGACTATACTTGAGATGCACTCGAGGTTTACAACACACAAATAGGTTAGTTAACATATTTTCTTTAAGTCATCTGTAACTAGTGATTATAGCTTTTCATCAAAACTGTCTTATATAGTAATATTATCTAAAAATCCGTCCACAGGACTTTGAACTTCTACGATTTTGCGATGTCATTGACAAATATCATAATTACCTTAGAACATATTTGTGATATTTCATCTTTTATAAATCACGTACTACAGGGTTGTGATTTTCTTCTGTTACAAAAATGAAGTTAGAAAAAGTAAGAGTTTAAAGATGTAGGAATAAGTATACAAAAAAGGTTTAAGTCTCAAAGGGACATTCGAATAAACATTGTGGATTAAATTTCAAATTGTTTAACACCTTACTTCCTATAATAACATTACGAATACATAATCACAGCCCGATTTGGCTATATTGTGACAAATTCTAACACAATTTGGCTTGCATCTATTCTCCAAATCCGCACTTTCATACTAGTACTATTCCTAAGGGGTTATAAAATTAAAAATCTACTATAAAATGGAATATTATTGCCATTTTGGATGTTCTTGATTAAGCAAATACACTAATGGTATCCTAAGTTTAATAAACTAGCAACGCCCATAAAGTAGCAATAAAGGAAAAACTCTAACCAAAAATAGGAAACATTAACATATAAACAACCAACATGTAGCAATAATAAAGAATACAAATGAATGTTAGAAGATAAAGACAGAACAAAGGAAATGAGGGCTACAATCGTTAACACTCACGGACCTAACGACACTCAGCATGTTCTCTCATCATGTCTTCCAAACAATGGCGAAAATTCAAATCAGTCATTAAATATCATCCAGCTATGATGTTAAAATTGGTAACCCTCATAACGGTGACAAAATTAAATAATTTTCTAAGAATCACCGCTATCCACTGGTAGGAACTGTTGCTGGGCTACTGAAGACAAAATCATATCTATAGGCTTAGTATCGTCGTAGAGGGAAGGCGCTTCGCAAAGGATGGCAAATGTACCAACTATAGAAGCAATCGTGAAGATCCAGAGGAAAAGTCGATCCAAGACCATCGCTACGAAGCCCCAGTCTTGATCTTCCTGTTGGAAAAAAAATAGAAGAATATAATAAATTTCAAATGTTACGTCTCCTACTGATATTACGGCCAGCTTATGTACACAAAAGTGGTCATTATAGTATTACCCACCTTTCACTACGTCTCACATCGCCTGCCTGATCTGTTAGCTTCTCGCAACGCCTAACTACGATGTCGTTAACGCCCATTTACTGGGCTGCCCACAAGCAGTTACCATAAATTCAGCCTTTAATCTTTTTTTTTCCGCTCGCTACAGTCCTTGAATATTTTTTTTACATAGTCTCTTTCCTTCACACCAGTCCATTCATTTAGAAGCATTATTTTGTACATTTCATATTTTTTATAAACTCTTTTATTAGGTTCAGTGTATCACTCACAAAAGTTAATACAATTATCATTACTTACTGCATTAAATTCATCCTGTCGTTGCATATGATGTTGAATGAACATGACATTGTGGATAGCCTTTTCCAGTTCGAAAGGATATTTCTTCCGAGGAGCAACATCGCTGAGAGAGTCGTCCAATCCTGACATTACTGAAGGTAAACCATTGTAACCTGCACCAAGACTACCAAGCGCTCCAACTATGCCGCTAAATCTATAAAAAAAATAAATGTCAGACGGCATTTCCTTATTCAACAGTAATCCATTATACTAGAAAAAAAAACTTAAGTTTACGTAACGTTATAATACTGTGGTGTAATCTCTTGTTGATAATTCTCAAACGCTTGAGAATTATCAACATGAGATTACACCACACACAAATACAATATATATAAAATTGATTTTAGAAGTAGAGTATACAAATATCATATTTCCTACTAATTGGCATTGTCATCGGTCTAACCTTTGTACCAATGTTAAAATTAAGTTTGGGTTTAACCAAATTTTGGAGAGTTATAGGGGAATTATAAGTGTGAAATCTTTGTCTGTATACCTGTGTGTCTGTATGTCAGTCCGTGGCGTCGTAGAAACCAAATATTTAGATCTTAAAGCGATTTTCTATTTGGAGGCTAATTTAATCGGAAAGGTTCTTATCCATGTTTGATGGTCATTGGTTCAGTTGTTTAAAGACCATCGAATCTTTTCATAGTTAGTGTTGGGATCACAGTCATAACACAAATATTTATTTTACTCAGGTCGATTTCAAATTTGGTATACTAGGGAAATCCGATGACATTACAATAATAATGGCAACTTTGATCTGATGCCACCAGGAACTAGGACTGTCTGCAGACTACCCAACGCTTCTACTACTTACAGTAGAAGTATCGTGTTTTGGCTCATTACCTACATAGGTCTCTGGACTTTGTGACTGTGCATTTGTCGACTTTTTGAAGTACACTGCTTTGCATCGGGTGTTTGTAATAAGCTACGTTATGAAACTTTACTATTGGATTATACGACACTAAGATTTATTGAAGGCTGAATACGGAAAAGATCAAAGTGAGTAGCTATAAAGAGGTCAAGAGATCAAGGTAGCTATGAGTCGTGAGGAATAGAAATTTTTAATTTAAGTTACCTGTTAGTAGCCGTAGTAGAGTGAAGGCCATTACATCCACCAGGCAAATGATGACGCAAAGAATCCGGACTCGACGCATTCGAATTAGGTTGATCAGCAGCTGCTAAAGCGTCTTTAAATTTATTCTTCTTCATACTTCTTCCTGATATCTTCTGTGCTGCTAGGTCTCTAAGCAAGTCTTTTGGCACTCTCATTAGAAGCAATTTTGGTAGTTTCGTGATAAAGAACTTTCGCACCCACGGTGCCATTTTATGAGTACTTGGTTTTCGGTAATGAACGTTTAGAATTATAATTGTTATTACTACTGACAGGCCGACCAATAACATCGTAAATAATAGATATTTTCCAAGTAAAGGCAATGCTAGGGACGTTGAAGGAATAATTTCAGAAATAAGCAAGAAGAACATAGTCTGAGATAGGAGGATTGAAATACTCAAAGCAATTTTTTCGCCAGAGTCTGCTGGTAGATAAAAAACCAATACTGATAGATATGATATGCCAACACATGGGACTATTAGGTTGACAGTGTAGAATAGCGTCTTTCTTCGTAATGTGATATTGAAGAAGATATCTGAAACAAAAGAGAATATTTGTAGCAAATTATATAAAGATCACACAAGCCATAATTGTAAGCAAGATCATTGTGGACTCTAAATCTTTATGGGATACATGCTACACGATAACCTCGTGGGGCAGCAGAACACAAAAGTAAGACCTATCGCCGCGCAGTATTTGGATGTAGACAAATTCTTAGAAACTATTATTGCACTGCACAGAATATCTATACCTACATATAAAAGGCGAGACAAAAGAGAAGCAGAGGTAATTAAATATTTTAAAAAAGACAAAAATATCTTAAATTTAAATCAGGATTCGTAATTGGTTTAAGCTATAAATAAAATAATAAAAGAACATCAGAGCTTTGTGTTGTTGAATGTTAATGTTGAAATGTTAATAATGATAGTACAATATAAATGTTTTATTTGACATAAAACAAAAATAAAATAATCGTAGACAAGATAAAATACAGAGAAGTGGTAGTTAAAACCACGGGTTTGATGTCGCTTGATAATCGATTACGACACCGTATGGCATCCTTAAGCAAAATGGTTCTACAACGACTTATAACATTTCATAAAACTTAAGTATCTACGTCGGCAGTGTGTAAAATACTGTCATTGAACCGGAGGAATGCATCGTAAAAAGCTGATGTTTCTGCGGATATTTTTCTAACAAACAAAGACGAGTGTCCTGAAGTGCGACGTGTTAGATACAAAGCATTTTGCATTAATGATTATTTCGTTTAAATTTTGACGTATTAGATAGTAATAGCAAAGCATCTCTGCTACTAGGCTTGAAGTTTCAATGTAATGTGTCCGTAATTCCACCGTCATACTAATTGGTCTGTTTGTACATGCTAATAGGCCAATGTCACAAGAACCATTGCGTAATTTTGTTAGAATTCATATTTCAATTACGTTACTTGTAAGATATTTTTGTAACATGTACAGGAATCAGCGAAACATAGTAATCATCGCTGCTTTTAGATATTTACGTTACCAAGAAAGTAATCCGTAATATCGTATGCGTTACCGGTTGGGACTTAAGACAGAAACCACACGAAACACAGAAATAGGTAAGGACGGCGTTGGTACCTTTCCTGCCAGGTAAAATACATGCAAAGATACCTACCAGAAAAAAGGTGTAGCAGAAAGCCACTAAGGAATAAATTTCGAAGAAAGAAAAGATATCATATAGGAAAATACATGGTATATCAATCTTCAGTCCTTATAAATCTTGTGTTGGCAAATTGAACTGAAAAGCTAATGCCAAGCGTAGCTATTATACCAAGTCGTATTTTTGGAGAAGTTTATGTCGATTAGTAAAGTGTTAAAGGTTATTATGTGAGGCGATTGAAATAAAATGTTGTTCAAGATGATCGTACAACTTGTTTCCTTAAATATGTTCTGACCCTATAAAGTACAATGACAGTCATGCCTTTGCTTATGATACAAAGTGATGGGAAGAGCAAGTCGTACGCCTGGTGGTAAGCGACACTCCAGCTCATAGCATTTGAAGTGCCACTCAAGAGCTTTAAAAAAGACCCTGAGACATAAATTGACAAGTCCCATGTGCATGTAATTTCATTGCTGCTTGGCGGCAGAAATAGGTAAGGTGGCAGTATTTCCCTGGAGGAACTCTATTACAAGAAAAATGTTACGCTCTTGACAAACCTCCTTATTCTTTCACTCCCATCATTATCTTCATGTATGTCCTTTTCATTCTTCCTGTTTATTCTTGGTACAAAGGCACATTGATTGAAGATCAAGTAATTAATTCAATCATGTTGTGATTGATTCCATCGAATATCTTGATTAAAATCAATGTTTTTCAGTATAATATTATTATTACCTTACCTATTTCTGCCGCCAAATAGTAATATGAGCATTACTGCGTTCCAGTGTAGAAGAGTTTTTTATAATTTCATAGGTGATAGGTTCACAAAATAATGAAGATATGACAAAAATGGAGTCAAGTCATTTGTTTAATTTTATAATTACCATGGGTAAAATGCAACATAATGTCGTGTTGGCAACGAATGATAAATTTTAAGCATTTTCGATCTTATTTACGAAACAAAAGCATTAAATAATAGAACACTTAAAAATTGGGTTAGTATTGCAAGCAATCATTCTTTTTTATAGACATTAATACGCGTTCGAGTCCACCAGTCGTAAAAATCTATAAAAGATAATACGGTATTTTTGTGTAATAATGTCTTGCTGGCTATTACGTTTACCCATTAATTAGTAATGTATGTACTATTTGTATAAGTGCAAAGTTAAGTTTGTGTAAAGTTTTCATCTTATAAGTAAATTTTGGAACAAACTATCAGAAACAACGAAAAATATCTTACTGAGTTGACCCATTATTACTTAACAGCATCCAATAATGCTAATCGTAAATGTAAGTAAAAAGTACGTAGTCGGTGACAAAGTCAGAGTTCATTATAAATTTGTCAAGGATTGCTCGAATTTAGGCTGCAGTTACTGGTAATGAATGTAATGATAAACTTTTGAGAACAAGAAAAATTTGTCAAAGTCACGTGTGGTATGAATTGCACAACATATTTGCAACTTTGTGTTAATACGCGTAAATTTTGTAAAAAAGGTGTTATTGAGTAATGAATAAATTTTGGGACGTAACAGTCAATTAGGTTTTATTGGGTAAAATGATTGCGTCCATACACAAAAAAGGCGGAAAGTCGGATTTTACGTTTATTATAGGTAATTCAGAGTACAAAATTATAAACTCACATAAAAAATTGGCGTTAGTCATTATGTATCTGACAAAAACACTCTCCCGATATTTCAGAAAGGTTTCACGCTCTGTGGTTAACAGTTGACTGGCAAGCGGCAGTTGATAGCTTTTAGGGCAGATATGTGATCATTAGAGCGTATAATCGTAAAAAATATCCGGGCAAAATGTAAAAAATCTACTGTGATAAAAAGCCCTGTAACGACAGAAATTTGTCTAAAGATGTACATTACAAAATTATAGTATGAGAATCAAAACGACATTTCCATTCATTCGAGAGTCATGATCGTAGCAATGTATTGCTTTTTTATTCATTACTAAAGAGGTACCCAAAAAGTAATGGCTTATAAAATTTATTTGTACGCTTTTACGGGAGCTGTTGTGCTGTAAAAGTTTTTATGGAAATTACTAACATTATTTTTAGGAAGCATTTTTATGCATTGCTTCCTTGGGATAAATTTTGAAATCCACAAAGTATTCCAAAGCATCTTCCATTTCGGCGACCTCTTCCTCTTCCACCTATCTATGACTCTTACGCATTTTAAATACAGAGTCGATATTAGGATAGGTCTTCATACGAGAAAGTATGTGTGTGTGTGTGAGAGAGAGAGAGCGGTGCAACCTTTATCATTCGGATACACTAGTATATAGTTAAAGAAATAAATATCACATAAAGCGAAATGAGACCTAAAATTGACGTTTTAAAGTATGGCCACACGGAAATTCGGTTTTTCGATTTTCGATTTCGAACTTCTTTTATTGATAAAGAAAACAGAAGATATCGGTAGTGAACTACGGTGCTCGAAATACGATACACTTCCTTCGATAAAAAAATCACACCTTCGCAAATTTAACGAAATTCGTGTACAGAATAATCTCAATATAGAGTACTAAAATAACCGACCTCAAAAGTACGTGGAATTACGTCTATTTGCTAAGTTTTATTGAAATATCCCCTAGTTCGCCACTATACAGGACGTGACGCTGGAGATAATAAAAATAGGTTCTTACTACGACACTACTCAAAGTATATTGAGACTAAAACGCCTTGAATGGAAGAAATAGCAAAATCAACCATTAAAGTAATTGCTCCTAAATTAAAGTTAGGCGCTATTTATAAAAGTGAATCTTCATGCGTGAACAGCCACCCTTCGAGGTGGATGATTTTCTTCAAAATGAAATGGGACCACTATGGAAGTACCTCCTTTCTAACAAAAAAAGAATCATGAAAATCGGTTCACAAATACCGGAGTTATCGCGTAACATACATACAAAAAAAAAGAAAAAGAAAAAAAAAGAACATACAGTCGAATTGAGAACCTCCTCCTTTTTTGAAGTCGGTTAAAAATCAGATTCATGTCATGTCAATCAGGTCATGTTTCACTTTCAACCGACCCAATCGACTCTCATGAGGCTATTTGATGTGGACCCGAATTAATAGTCTTCATTATGGACACGTCATATCAGGTATGACCTGTACAATAGTGTTTGTGCTACTCTGCGGTCTGCTGAGCAATGAGGCTGTTTTTTTTGTGGACGATGCGATTGAAACTATCTATCTACGTGGTAGGTCACATTGTGCTTTATAATAGCGAGGCAAACTGATCAACTTCCTCAATCCATTGTTGTATTGAATCCATAGGGCAGGCACTAAACGAATTTTTAATTACTATTTCGCTGCTGGATGAACTTGACTGGATTAATGTGTGTGCGCTCATACAGAACGTCACTCGTTGAAAGGCAGATGGCGTCTTCTGGTGACCACTCATAATATGTGATTTTACAGATTTCCTCGCACGGCTGATGAACACCGACAGCCACACACAGGGCCGACATTTTAAATTAATCAACTACAGAATTCTCATCATAGACTGTAGGAAGCCGCGTTACGAAAATTAATTTACGTAATTAGAGACTAAAAAACCGGGAACAAAAGTATGTTAAGTTTTTTTAAGCAATCGCTATTCTATCAAAACTGGGTAAGCAAAAAAGACATTTGAAATATTAACTTGTTTACCAAATTTAAATACTTTCGTAATTTCAAATAAAACTTGAGTTCTAATGTAACCATTTTATTACAAGAAGCAGGTTTGAAGAGACAAAGACTCGGAAACAAATTTATTAAATCCCTGAGGCTATAATATTAATATAAATAGTAGGGAAATATCATATTGACGTCGATAACAAGATAAACCAGGACAAGATAAGGTACTCGTATTTGTTGGAATATCCACCTGTGATGAATTGGCGTGA